CTCAGAAATCACAAACTAGGGTAGTGGCTAATTTTACAAAACTAAACAGCCTACAGTATTTTTACAGCCTTTATTTTACAGATAAAATATATGTTTATTAAATAAAGTCTAATGTTACAACTAATCGGGGATCCCTTTAAAACTTTGTTCTGTGCAACGTGCAGCGGGAGGAAATGATTCCACGGCACAACATAACTTTTCTACAGTGGCAGGGGGAAACGTTGAGGATTTATTCTCTCTATACATGTTTTAAAACACTATAATTCTTCATTATATTTTGAACTCCTGCTCAGTTGTTTCTGCATTCTCAGCCCTGTTCACACAGATGCGATGACATAACTGATGACAGGACGGTAGAAGGTAAATTTCTACCGTAGACCAACTTCACACCATTTCCACTGTCTATCACATATACCGTGCAGCCCTATCATAAACACAGTACAACTCGACTGGTTCATCCAGACTTTAAAGGCAAGTCTAAATAATGTTACCAAGGACACCAATGGTCTGGTCACTCGTAAGGCCACAGGCTGGATAGTTTCAGTCAAAGAGAAAGGCCAGGAACTGAGGAGAGAAAAATATGATTTAGTCTACAAGCTGTAGGCAAATACCATTTAAAACTTAAAGCTGATGCTGTTACTACAGTACAAATATTCCATCAGCTGTTTCTGTTGTACATCAGCACAACAATATGAAGCCATCAAGATGTGATCAAAGTGTAGACTTTAGTTTTAACCAACTGTCACAGCAAAAACAGTTAAACGAGACAGGAGAAACACATTTAGTTGATGATCAATGAGATCAATCACAGACCCCACAACTCATTGAACCACATCAGAACACGTCTGCTGTAACGTTTATGAGTACAGGATTAATTCTATCACAAAGCTTAGTGGAGCAGTGAAGAGGGCAGCTTTACTCACACATTCTACAGAATAATTCTTCACCATATAAAAACACATCATCAAATCTTGTTTTATATTAATTCTTAAACACATTTAATAACAATATATTTTATAGGGATAGTTTAGATTTAGCACGTACAGCATGCAGAACATCTAATAAGTCATTATTTTCTCTGTAATGGACAACAGTCAAATAATTTCGGTTGGAGAATCAGGTAAAATTTCTTTTTAAACAACATTCTTTTAGGACTTGTTGTGAATCAAGCAGCTTGTTTTGCCATATTGTACATTTATACATCTTTAAAATGAAGTAAAAATGTACTTTTTTAACAATAACTGTAAATATATTATCAGACTGATGCATGAATGATGAATATTGATCCATCTATGAAAACATTACAGCATTTGTCAAACATAAGTAAATGTGCTTTTCTCAGCAAGAAAAAACAGTTGTGTTTTCATTCGTTTGGGGGTGATATCCTGTCACAACGAGGCCCAGACTAACCTGAACTTGAGCAGACCAGCACGGCCATTTGTGGTATCCTCTTCAGGAAACAAGAGCAACGGTGGAGTGCCCTCAGCAGAGCAGTACCTCTGAAGAGACTCTCCTACTGCTTCTAGCGTTGATGTTGAATGGATTTCCATGAAGCCTCTGGCCCAACACACAAAGCCTATTGAGCCCTCTAACTGGGGCTAATGAGAGGAAAGAAAAAACAAGCTCATAAAACACTCTTTATAATGCAAGGAGTAAAGCAGCAGACATGGTAGTGTGATCTACACAAATCTTGAAGCCATGTTTGAAGCTTTTCAGAGCAGGTCAGTTTTTAAATATTTTCCTGCATCATTGGACGTGTGTGTTCCTCTTTAAACAAAAAACAACTTCACAGAAAATTGGCTTTGCAGCAGAAGCTGATACCACTGCTGGTGTTAAGCTGGAAACATACTCCCTCCGAACTGCTGATGTCGGCATGGGTTGTCGCAGTTTAATGACGAAAATTACGTCACTAGGCTTTGCAGCGTCGGCTCGACGGCCCCTTTTGGCACAACTCGCCGGCAGAACTTTTTTGACCCCCCTCCCGCGACAACGTTAATGTGTGATTGGTCTGAAGTTCGTGGGCGTGTTTGTTTGTGCTGAAAGCGCTTGGGGGAAAAAAGAAAGAAAAAAGAACGACTTGCTTCCAGAGCTGACTATTACCAGAAAGCAGAGTTTTATAAGGATAGTCAAACCATGAAAAACTCATGAATGGAGAAAAAACAGACGTTGTGCACGGAGGAATCTGACAAATAAAAACTGTGAAGCTAAACCAGGACAGATGTGGATAAATATGTCAGGTGAGTGACGAGTCTGACTTTTTTTTCTGTATTGTCCTGTTGCGGGAAGAACTCCATGCAGTGACGTATGCTGCAGCGGGAGGGGGGTTTCTCAGGAGCTCGGCGCGGGGTGTCTCAGGGACTATGAAAGGTCTGGGCGAAAATGACTGCCAAACAACCACGTGACCATGCGTCGAATGGTCGGCGTCACAGCATGTTTCCAGCTTTAGCAACAAACTGCTAATGCCATTCATGAAGGAGTTCTCCACGTTTCAAAACAACTGCAAACGTTCTCAACTTCCTTGTGCAGGGAAGGGCTCATACAACTTCCTCTTCTCTCCAGTGTCGGAGCTTCCAAACTTTTGTTGCATTAATTTTTGCAACCACTAAAAATTTCGGAGACAGTTTTTTTTAAATCAAAGTAGTCACAGAGTTGTCATGAGCATCTAGAAAACACATGAAGCCCACCTCCGTTTAATTCTCCAACTAGTCCCCAACAGACACAGCTAAATGAGATAAACCTAGTCATGGACCCTGAGAAGATGTCTGCATTTATGGTAGCTAAAATTAGTGAGGAAAAAAAGTCTGTTTACTAGGGGTGTAACGATACATCGATCTATATCAATATATTGATTTGAATGGTTCATGATTCAGTTATATTGAGGCAAAATGAAAATTTCGATCTATATCGTCATCATATGCTCAATGTGAATCAATATCATATGCCCATCTAACACAGTCATTGTGTTAGATGGGCATTTGATATTGTATTATATGATCACAGATACGTGAGTTGAATTGAATCGAAATCATATCGTGACAGACTTTGTGATATCGAGAAATATCGAATCGTCATCCAAACATATCGATGTAATATTGTGTCGTGAAAAAGCTGGTGATTTACCCCCTAATGTTTACAGGAATCAAAGTTCAGACCACTGATTTTAAGCACTTTACACTTTCTGGTCACACTAACAAATCACAGTGTTAAAGCACTCAGCTTTTTCTCCAACCACTGAGCATTCAATGTGCTGTAAAACTGATCTCTCTTAACGACAAAGACAATGACATCATTGACCATTTCTGAGCAGAGCTATACTAAATTCAGTGTCGTATTATGCTTGATCTACTGATAAAACTCTGCAAGCTGAATATGGCCAGGGGGAAACCAGCTGGTGATAACTGCAGTGTTTATTATTATGAAACCATTTATTATTTAACCATTTATTATCAGAAACCATCTATCATCTACTATCTTAAGAATATAAAATTTATTGTAAAATTTTAAGAAGTGAAAAATAGTTCAGAGTTTTCTATGGACTAATGGTTTCAAATATCTTAATTGGTTGAATTTTATTTGTCTTCAGACTAGTGTTTATCTAAACCATTTCCATTTAATTTCTAAGTTAAATCAGTTCAAGTAAACCTTTAAAATCTTTTAGGCACCTACTTAATGAATAGAGCTGCCACAAACGATTATTCTTATAGTCGATTAATCACCGATTATTTTATTCGATTAGTCGACTAATCAGATCATACGTTAATTGAATATAAAACATACAGCTTATCGCGCCAGAATGCAGCTGCTATTATATAACCATTGTTAGATTTTAGCTATATGCTAACTAAAAATAATTGCTGTGGAAGGCAAGTTCTGCTCTGCAGATATTACACAGGTTTCTCTTTTATTTTCTTAAAATGATGAGCTCTGTTGTCAGGTAGCCATGATACCAGAGCCTGTCTGTATAATGTCTTGTGACGTCCACGGCCTACCCC